GCTTTGAATCTAGAAAATATGGTTAGGGAGATCTTCAAGCTAGCTTACTTTAGTTAACAAGTATTGGCATCTTGATTCCTCTACCTTTGCAGCCAGTGAAAGTCACAAGCCAGAAAAAGCAAGTATTTGGCAGTCAGAAGATATTAGACCTTCGAGGAAGAGGTTTGGCACCTTCAAGAGATGCTTTCCAAGGCTATTTAATGCTATATCTGCAGACAACAGCTTATGTAGGTAATTTATCAAGTCAGGCTGGGAACACAAAAGTGTTCTGAGAGTTGACTCCTCAGTCATTTTCTCATGACAGTCAGCTCTAAAGATTTAATGCAATTAAATGTTCTAGTCCAGGTAACCTTTCTAAGAATTCATCTCCTCTTATTTCAAAAGTCTCCAAATTTCATTCCTATATACAAAGGAGGTGTTTATAATATAAGAGTACACAGAAAAACAGTTTCCTCAAAATATAGGAAAGGATACATCCAAGTAGAGATTATTATTGCCATTAGAAATGTCCTTTGTAGCTGAGAAACGAGATGCAACACCTGAAAAGACACCAAATGCAAACAGTGAGGTTGTTCAGCTAGAAGCAGAAGGGAAGAAAAAAAGGTTTTATGGATGAGATGGAACCATCTATTCAGTTGACCCAGATATAAGCATTTCTTGCAGACAGCCAGATTTAGCATTTTAAAGGGAATGTCACAGAAGGGCTTCAGGTTCTCACTAGAATACCTAAGTGTCTCAGCAGCAGATTCCTACTGATGTAATGAAATTATAAGATTCTTCAAGGTGAAGTTTAAGGCTGAAGGTCCAGGTCACTGACTTTTAAATTCACACTGAAAACCAGAATTTGGTATAAATCCAGGTTCTAAACCTCATACTACAGAGAGACTATCACAAATGTATCAAAGATGGTTAACACCTTAGATACAGAGTCAAAGTAGCTCAGGTACTAGCCTCAGAGTTAAACTGAGTTAAACTTTTTTCCAAAACCTAATACTTGCAGTACTTGGTAGGTAAGGAAAAAACCAAACCCCCAACAATCTGGAATCCTTGTGGGATGCCATAGGCAACACAGGGAAGGGACTGGAGCTTTTGTGGCTAACACCAGTAGTACCAGAAGTACTGCAACTAATCCCGAGAAGCTGTGAGAGAAGATAAAATGAAGTGGAGCTCAACTTCAGCCAGCAATATTCCTCTTATAGTGTGACTTGAGTTTTCAAATAAACAAACTAAAAGTGCCTGTGCTTTTTGGAAAGTTTATTAGAGGAAGGAGGACTGTAATCTTATGAGAAAAGTAACAGAAAAATACAGGGCTCAGACACATTAATGGGCAGGATTTTTCTTTAGTCACTCAACTTTTAGGACAAGCTTAACAGAGGACTGCAGCGGTATATTAGAAAATTCCAAGTATGCAAAAGAAATGCAAGATCCAGTAATGAGAATAAGACAGCAATAGAAAAAGCCAAAATAAAGTGCTAGAGACTGTTTTAATAAGAACAAGACAAACTGTCGATGGCCAGCTAGAAGAGCCAAGATTTGGACAGGCCATGTTGGGGGTGCAGCAGTTTTATTTATCCTTCTCCTTGGAGCTACTTTAGTAGCTGTTGTTAGTTAAGCTGTTTATCTAACCCTTGGTTTGCTCACTGGCCCAAAAGAAGCTAAAGTGACCTGTTAATTGCTAGTGCCAGCAAACTGCAATGGCAGCAGCACAGGTTTCCTGACTCCCCAGGGTGTCTCTATCATTGTTGCTGGCCCATTCTTCTTTCTAGGATTTGTCTTTTCCTCTGGTCACTGCCAACGTCCCCAGGAAGAACCCTGCCTTGATATCCCCAAAACATGCATGTTCTGTACATTCTAGCCAATATTAATGCCAGTTGTTGCAGCATCTGCATCTCCCACCAGTCACTTGATGCAGTTTGCGATTAGTCACTCATATTCCTTTACTCAATCTGGATTTTAACTAGCAGCGAGCCTAACGCTGAAGTGTTGTTAATTAAGCCCAGCAAAGGAAATCACATCAGTAACTTCAATCACAATTACTGGGTTTCTATCCGTGTGGGTACACTACATCCCTGCACAGACAGCGCGTGTTTGTTCTGTGGTCTGCTGCCCGTGAGGCGCCGCGGTTCCTTAATTGCCTCACACACCCTGACAGCGTGCACTCACATTCCAAATGCTACCAGCATCATTAGTTCCTTTCACACTTCATTTCTCCATGCCAGGCATTCAGAGATTTCACAATCTGCATATCCTGCTTTTAAGACATCACAGATCTCTTCTGCAAACCTTTGAGGAACTAATGAGCAAGATGTCTCTAGTTTATTAATTAGCTGCTTATCAGCCGTACTCCACAGCTCCCCACTAGTTCAGCTGCTCAGCTACAGTAATTAGACAATCCACTTCTCAGTCTTTATAGCATTGCCTTAGAAAGTTTCACTGTTCTTCAGACTGTGGTACTTTCTGGCAATTTCAGACATCTCCTGAATGACTAATAGAGAAACCCTGCTTTCTGTATTATTCATTGCAGCCATTACAGCTCCCTATTCCAGGTTTTCTCCCCTGCACTCTGCCGTCAATATGTGCCACCACTGGCATCCCAGCGTCCAGATGTTATCTGAAAGCTCCTTTATTTGCATCATTCAGATGAACAGTCAAAAAGCATGTATTCACACTCACTCTGATTCAGCCTGCAAGTGAGTAGCGTTACTTTTCATGCTGCAATCCTTCTCAAACAGGAACAAAATCAAGCCAGCAAACATATGCTGTCTCTGCTTCATGCAGTGAAAGGCTTGCTTGTATGTCTGAACTGATTTTTATCAGCTAGCAATAGCTCATGTACTCACAGCTTTCATCTGTTAAGTATCTGACGTGCAGAAACTTATGGAATATGAAAAACAGCCTTTTTTTTTCCAGCTTGCCAATCAACCATAATGAATACTGTGCAGTGACTACAACTAGAGAGGAAAAAAAATAATCTTTTAAATCAGGCTTAGTTGGATACTTTACCTTCTAAAACATTTCCTTGAAATACCAAACAGTGTCCATGGCAAATGGCTCTCCAGGTCTCACAGCGATTCTACTGCTGGCTATCTTGTGTATCCATTTAGACAGCAGGGATACTCACTTAGGCCAAGCTGTGGCTCCTTTCACCTCTCCACAATCAAGCACACAGACTCAAGCGGACACACTGTTTCTAAGCAGAGCCAATACAATTTCCCCTTGACATTTGAAAGCAGTAAAAGAAAGTGGTTTTCCTTTCCCAAAAGGCAATGAGAAGTAACGCCAGCGTCTGACAGACTGTTATATGCTGTATATACTGTGCATCCACTGAGGAGTAAGTCCACCCCAGAGCATGTCTGCATGCATATACAGCTATGTATAGACACAGCCAACCAGATCTCGAGCCCCTCCTGCCTGTCTCCAAACGTGCTCCCAAGGCTGTAGGTCAGGAGGGGTCTGGGATGTGCCCTCACAGGGGTCCTTGGTCTTGTCTGGATGACTGGGGTACCCAGAACTAAGGTCCACCACAGAGAATACTAACCCCTGTAGGCAGCCACAGTCCGTACCAACCTCTGGCCCCTGTATCCCAGATGAAAAATAGGCTAACCTTTTAAGACAGAGTGACTTCTTTTTTTCTGAAACAAATGCTAGCAGTAAGGCATTGCAGAAGTATATGACGATATTACATCCCTTTTTTTACAAAAAAAATTAATCTACTTATCTAACATTGTAAGAGAACTTGAACTGTTTGTTCAAGAGGAGTTGAAGCAGTTCATCATCTTGGCTTTCTGACATGCAAGATGCAGAGTTGCCCCTCATGTTGCCTCACACATGCAAACAAGCATATCTGGTAGATAGTCCAGACTTACAACCTTAGCAGCAGCCAACCCTCAGACCTCACAGCCTCTCTAGTCACTGGCTTTGACCACCTGGTCCCTCAAGTAGCCAAATCTCAGACACTCTGCTTTCTCCCTAGATTTATGGCCACTGTCACTTGGCTCCCATGGCTCTTACCCTATTTGTCAGCTAACCTGTCTTGATACATGCTAGTGATTACATACTGATATACGTACTCATGGAATATGCACTTCAGTCTCTCCAATTGCTGGCACCCTCAGCCTGCAGCTCCTTTCACCCGTGGTCCAAGTCCAGCTGTTGGAAGGTAGACCTCCATGCATACACACGCATGCAGATAAAGCCCTGCACCCAGGAAAAGTTAGAAATGAAGTTAAATGAAGAGACAGGACAGTCTGCACTGATCAGGAGCAGCCTGATGTCTACCTGTAATAAGCCTCTTTTGTCCCCTTATTCCTTTTTCCCCCCCAAATCCCCTTGATCCCCCATTCCCAAAACATCCCATAATAAGCTTTTGTACAATCCCAAGATGCCCTTCCCCGCATCCCATAAATCCTATACCTCCAGGCTGTATCCACCCTCATTTACATTCCTCAGCTCATGATCAAGATGTTATACAGTATTTTCAGACAAAGAGATAACAAATGAGAAAGACACAAAGCTTTAGTGACTATTAAGTGAATGCTGTGAGAAGTCTTATTCCCCTCTGATGATAAATCAGAGGTTTAGGCAGGCTGAATCTCAGACCCAATTTATGTATCAAGGCTGACCTAAAGCCACGCAGGCTTGAAGTGTGTGAACGTGTCCTCCCACAGGGAAATTATTTTGCATGCCCACTGGCACACACTTTTGCCCAAAAGCTGTTTCTCAAGCCAGGTGAGTTTTCAGATCGCGTAACCACTCAATTTGCAAGCACTCTTCATAGACATACACACTGCTACAGAGAATAACTGCCCTGTAAATCTCAGAACCCCAGCTGCAGGTGTTCAAAGCTTGTGTGTCTTACTCTGTGCCCAAGTATTCAGAGGCAGAGCCAACACTCCTCACAGTCCAAGCACTGATGCTTACCTAGGCAACAGATTTTCTCATCAGATTTTCAGATTTTTTACTTCTCAAGAAGGACTCAGTGGGAAGCTCCTCAACTGCTACATGTTCCAACCTCTGCCCGAACATTTGTAAAACAAAAATTAATTTATAATTTCTAAGCACGGCTCATCACTTCATTATTTCATATAGTGGTGATTATTTTTCTCTGTATCATTCTAACCACGCTCACATAATTCAGTGAACAGAGATGAATTTATTTTTCAGCATCACCTATTTGTGGTTCTGTTTACACATGGTCGTGAAACTCACACTTGTACCACCAGTTCTCTTGTATTCCTTGTCATCATCATTCCTTTGGTTCTTCTAGGGTGTCTTCTGCTCAAAAGTTCTTCTGACTGGCAGAATAAAATCTGCTTGTCCAGGGGACAGGTTAGGAAATGTGGCATCAATATACTTTTGAAAAGCTTGTCTTATTTCTTGTATTTCAATTTCCAGGCTGTCCTTCCAGTCTGTCATCTTTTCCAGTTTTTGTGTGAGAGTTTTTACCTGTCCTTCTGCTGCTTTCCGTGCAATTGTCACTTTTTCCAGCTCATCAAGATGTAGCATTTCTGCTTCCCTGAGCTGTTTTTCAGTCTCACTTTGATTCTCTTTTTCTGCAAGTCTCAGGGCAGTATTAATCTCACGAGATTTTTCTATGTTTAATTGCTCTATAATCTTCTGATATTGCTCCTCAGCTAACATACTTTCTCCCTTGAGCTGCTCCATACTCTTTCTATTTAAAACAGAAAAGATTTATAAGGATTACTTAAAAAACAATTTAAGTCTGCTCAGGTTGTTGTCAAACCTCTCTTATTCAACTACAAATATACATCAAATCAGAACTTGATGTAGGACCTCTGAAACAAAACAAGGTAAAAGAAGGCCACTGATGACACAAAGGCAGTTGCAGAAGATTCTAATTCTGCATGTGTTTAATCCAGCCATCATTTAATGATGCTTGCTTCCAAATGAAAAATACAAAGGATTACTCTTTCACTCTTTGTTCAGGTCTCTGAGCTAGTACGCACCGATTTTCAGATAGACTTTGAAAAATTCTGCCCCTGAGTAAAAACGCTGTCTTGAAGTGAAACCTAAGAACTGATTTCTAGACTACAGATTCATCTGTAATTTTGTTTAAGTGGTAGTGAGGACATCTTTGTGCTAGCACATCAGTAATAAAGCATAAAATTTATGTTATGTAGTCAAAACATTCCGAGTGCTATCCATCAGTGTTGGCTCAGGGATATGTAAAGAATGGCACATCAGGCATCCATTAAGGTTACTGAGCCAAATATTTGAATTTGGAGAAAACAATTTCTGCCCCCTGTTATTGCTCCCTCCACTTTGTTGGAGATACTTTCACAGAGCTCTACTAACAGGAGAAGTCAAAGAGACCAGCTAAGTTTATGCGGAATGTGATTTATCTTTGTCAGAAAGGGCATGTTTTAATAGTGAAAATGAAGGTGTTAAATAATGGATCAAAACTTAAGTGTAAATCTGTTCAGAAAAAATAGAAAGCACCTTACAAAGGAACACACCTGAACTGATCTTTTCATTGTGACAGCATCGGGTTATTTTGTTGTTTGTGCTGTCAAAAAATGAAATGTATTCTGCTCTTAAGGGAGAGGGGTGTGTTAGCATCTTGACATCAAAGCTGTCTAATTCACAATGCTTAATCTTTATGGGTAGAATCTCCTGCGCTCCACAGAGCTCTATATGAACACATCTTTTTCAGTGTTGCATAGATGTCAAGAATGGCACAATAGGCCCCTGAGATCTTTATTTCTGATGACTCTAAGTCAGCCATAAAAAGCAAAACTTTGGGATCCTTGGTTAGCTTTGTGATACCTGATCTTAGGAACAAAATATCTTTCATTTCTATATGGAGTGTCAGCAAGAGAGAGTGAGCCTGCAGCTCTTGCTGGCCACTTGACACTTCCAATTTCCAAATATGTTTTTTTCTAAAGTATCTATTGATCTTTGCCTAGAAGATGCATCAGAGCAATGCTGATGCAATTCTGTTCATTTTCTTTCGTGGAGCACGTGTGCCAGCCAAGTCAGAGGAAACACTAAGAGCACCTGTGCTGCGTGGCGGCTTCCTGCAGGGCTCTCTCCCTCTCCTCTTCCCTGGCTTCGGCCACCGCTTGCATCTTCTCCTGGGCACACTCCATGAGGACACACTGAAGTCTGTGAGCCATGCGCTGCTCCGCAGCTTCAGCCTCTTTCTTCTGCTCCTCCTCCATGTACTGCTTCATCTCTGCCTTTGCCTTCCTCACCTCTTCCTTAAGCAAAGTTAAAAGTAGATGTATGTAGCGGCAACTTATTGTTCACTTGTCTTTAAACAATTCCCAGCAAAACCCAGCAGAACAGACTTCAGGAAAAAGTTATGAGGCAATTACAGTGACTTACTGTAGCATCATTCCACATCATCCATGTTTTCTACATAAGGCGCAAGTTTCCCGGTATATTTTCTTCACAATCTCTCACGTGGCCAGTGCCATGGTTTTAGAGTGACATGGAGAAGCCTGGTGCTTGGTATGGTTGTCATCAAGATATTGCTTGGGCTGATAAATTATGTTATAATACTAATCTTAGGTGGTCTGGATGGACATAGATATATTTGGAATCCCAGACAACTCTACACCAATATACCTCCGCTGCCATTATAGACCATGTCAAACTCCTGCCAAGCTTGACCATCCAGGAGAGCAATCCAACCTACTTAACTCGCTGCCCAGTGCTCTCTGCTGCTTTCCCACCATTCACAGTTCTTTCCAAGACCCCTGAACCACTGCATCCTCTGTGGAAGTGTCAAGACATTATTTGGAAAGCTCCGGCTGCCTAGATCTTGGTGGGTTTTCTAATACACAATGAGCAGAATTACATGAGGTTTGATGTAAATCTTTTGCACACCCAACTATAAGGTCTGTACTCTGTATTTTTCTGGATACCGGTTGGTTTTCTACTGCTGACAAGCGGAGTGACAAATAATAAGACCTGCCTATAAAGAAGCCTAACTAAAGCCATTTGACTATTAGTGGTGGTGGAACAGTCACATCAGCACTGCTGAAAAAAGCCATTCCTCAGGCTACCAGCTGAAAGCAGTTGTCTTTGGCCTATTCTAAACGTAAAAACACTTCAATCACTCATTCAGTGAGATGTCTTGTTGGCTGCCACTATGGGTTTGCTTAGACAGATGCTGAGTAAGTTTTCTGCCACCACCTCTCCACGCTACTTGCTAGTGAGCACTGTTAAGACACCTCTTAAAATGAACTGCAAGAAACACAAAGCACCAAATAGAAAACATCATGCAATTAGTTTAGATATATTTGCCTCTGCTTTTGTTTCAGCTGTAGAATTCTCTATCTGCTCCCTAGTCCTTAGTCACTAGAACCAATGTTATCAGAACAAACGGTACGTGTTCAAATCCTGAGCACTCAGGTCTATGAAGATATGTAACAGGCTTGTGGCAAGTAATTGAACAGTTAAACACGAGGAACTGAGCTTCTGCCAACTACTGTCGGCGGATGCTATGACAGCAAAAGACAGAGCTCCCTTGGAAAACAGCTCCATAAAACAGAATGAACTCAGCTGGAAACTTAAGACCACTGTAAACGTCCCTGCTTTTCCTCTTGAGATGCCAAGCACATTGCTTTGACTGCCTGCAATATGAACAGCTATTTAGAAACTTGTATAAAATAAAATTCCAAAGCAAAACGCTCCAGCAATTCTCTGTGCACCCTTCATCTGTCGGTGGGAGACTGCAAGACTAAGGATGAGAAGTGTAAGATGGACTGCGCAGTGCCTGACTGAGGAGCACTTGGATGCTCCAGTAATAAAAAGCCATGTGAAGTGGTGCAGAAAGCAGGAAGGCTCAGATCCAGAAGGCAGTTGCCCTCCTTCCTCTCTGTATATCTCTGAGGCTTTTCTCAGATATTAAACAGCCACATAAAGCATGTGCTAAGCATACGTAGAAATTCAAAGCTACAATTGGTGCGCTTCGTTTAGGAATACACGTATGCTGGCATTTTTCCTTCTCCTCCATCCCACTTAGGGTCCAGGTTCAGTAAGTCAGTTAAATACCTTTCTAGCTTTGATGGACATCCAGCTCTAACCATTCTGTCATGCTGTGACATAAAACTTCAGGATGGATTTAAAGTTAAGCCTGTATTTAACTGCTCTTAAGAAATGCACCTAATCAGGTTCAGCGGCTGGCTGAATCAAGGCCTGACAAGGAATTTTCAACAAAGTCCACAAACTTAATTCAATAAAAAAAGCCAAGCAAAACATGCTGAAAATGAATTAAAAATCCAGCTAGTTCAAGCTCATGTCTCATCTAGCACAAAGATAAAGCCAGATATCTTTAGGCCAAATACTTCTCCTGGCACTGGAGTTCAAATCTCAGATGAATGATGGTCATGGTTATGGCAAGCATCAATAAAAATCTTTTTTTTTTTTTTTTTTTTTTTTTTAACATACACTTCTATTTGGAAACCCGAGCTGGGTTCTGGCAGAAGTCTGTGGTTTTCTTGCTGAAGAGTTCTACTTTCGGGGAGTATGTGTATTCCAGAATTTCCTCTTGCTCTCAAAATGTTTCTGGTTGCAAATCAAGATATTACTTTTCTTTTTTTTTTTTTTTTTTTTTTTCTGTTTAACATAGAATTATATTCTCAGTTGGCAAACACGCGGTTCTATCATGCTAGCTATTTCCACGGTAATGAAAGCAAACTGGCTCATACCTTTAATTCCTCTCCAAGTTTTTGTTTGAGGTCTTGTACAAACGCACTGTGGTTAGCGGCTGCCTCTTTGAGAGCTTTATCCACCGCCTCTTCCTTAAGCATTTCAGCCTTTAAAACAAGTTATTATTTAAGTATAGGTGCTCACATTCTATTAACATGGTATTAAGATGAAGCAGAGGTTACACGATCAATAGTTCTGTATTTTCTTTTGGCCCATTTGGCAATTTTATTGCAGTGATTCCTGTTAAAATGTAGCCACACTATAGCATTGAGCTGCCACAGTTGTAACACTATACATATATATAACATAAAGGACAGTTTCAGAATCTTACATAGCACTATGGGGAACAGCTTTAACAAGGGGTAACTTCTGTGTGCTTTGGAGACCATTTTCACACTAGATGTAAAATTTGTTATTAAGTCAACGTATGCTTTGTTGTGCTCAGAAACTGGAGAAATACGTGGGTGCAATCTGTGAACAATCTGAAATTAATGACAGCTCCATAGCAGTGACCTCAAAGTTCTTTAACTGCCTTTATGCTATAGCAATTATCCCAAAGAATCATCATCATTTAAATGCCAGGACCATAATTTAATTTACCTGAGACCAAAGTTCAGCTTTCATTTTTTCAATGCGCTCTTGTATCTCTGCCTCCTCCTTTTTACGGTGTTCTTGTTGAATGTCTGCTCCAATCTCTGTACAATCAACACAAGCGGTTCATACACAGCAACCAACCATAGTGCAGAAACCTGTGTCTCTCTCCTGACCCCATCCTCAGCTGAATGAAAAAACCCAAGAGGCTAAAACCACCTATTTCACATACAGGAAAACACAATTTTTACTGCTTCTGCAGTTCCATAAATGCAACAAGAAGGTGCTGAACTCAACTCTCAAGGAAGGCCCAGCCCCAGTGCTGCAGGAGCACAGCTAATCCCTTCAGAAAGATGGAGTGAAGCAGCACAGAGACAAAGATAAAGACAAAGACCCTAGAATCATAGAATGGTTAGAGTTGGAAGGGACCTTAAAGATCATGGAGTTCCAACCCCCCTGCCCTGGGCAGGGACACCTCCCACCAGACCAGGTTGCTCCAAGCCCCATCCAGCCTGGCCTTGAACCCCTCCAGGGATGGGGCAGCCACAGCTTCTCTGGGCAACCTGTTCCAGGGTCTCACCACCCTCACAGATGCCTTTCTGCTTCCCAAACCTTTCCCCTCCTCAACAGTGGGATTTCAGATCCTCCCCCTCTGCCTTTCCTACTCAGTGCCAAGCCTGGGCATTGCTTTGGATCCTGTTCTCTCTGCTTGGCAGAGAATTCTCTATAACCTCTTCCTGGGTCATAGGAAAATGAAAATGGATTAGAGCCACAGGAGGTCTAACCTCCACACAGCCACCGGAGGATCAGGGCTCCCTCTTTCAGTCTTCTTCCCCACTCCACATGGGTAGGAAGAGTCCTCTTATGGAGCTGACACATGGAAAACAGCAGCAGGATGGGATAAAGGGGTCAACTGGTTTAAATCAACAGAAGTCCAAGAGTGCATAAATCTTAGCAGTAAGCATGTTGTGCTCCGACCACATAGCTTTTCCTCAGTCCATTGTACTAAGTAGTAAAGAGAAAATAATTTAAAGAGAGACTGTCTCCGGACTTCTGGATGTGTTTTATGCTGTATGTGTTAACACAGAGCTCAATCCTCATGTTCTGAGATATGCACAGCGCTCACCCTGCTGCTGGGGCTCTCAATACACCGATAACCAGTTGATAATGTTTAAAATAGAAACCAAGCACACTCCTCTTCACAATGCAGATTAATTAAAATGCACAACGTGATTTCTACAGAACTTTACACAGCTGATCAGAAGCCTCTATGACAATTAGGCACAGAATATAAAGATACTTCAGATTCTTGCCAGGTCCTCAAACATATGAACGCCACCACATGCTTTCCTTCATCATTGAGGTTATGATTGTGGTATGCCAGAAAAAAATAATAATCAAGCCTTAACAAGCTCTACGAAGCCTCAATCCAAGGTCAGCAGCCAGAAGCAGGTATAAGAAGGTAGGATTCAGGATAAAACACCCCAGCTGTCCCCTGCTGAAAGATGAGGGGATGATCTTTGCAAATATTAAGTCAAGCACAGTTCCTCCCAAGAAACTTTCCCTTAGAAAATATTTGCTAACGATCTTACAGCTAATTCTCTTTTGCACTTCATTACACCCAAATCTGAATGCCCTCATGCACCACAGGACAGCTGACCTTGTTCCCCCTCTGAATAAGCTGGATTTATTAAGTCAGAAGGTAAGTACAGTTCTTTCTTACCAAGATGTAAACCCTGTCATGACTGTCAAGAACAGGCAGGTACAACAGCTCTTGGAGTTTTCCTGAATCTCATATTGTGAGGAAAGGACTTCAAAAGCAAACTTACCCAGTATATCATGATGAGTATAATACCGTGTTCTGAAAGGTTTATACTCCCGAATCCGATCAAAAGTAGCATTGGAAGGTGGTGGTGGTACTACTTTAGAACATACAGCACAGCAGACAAAGGAGTCCAGATCAGGACTTCTAATCATCGTGGTATTTTAGTATTATTCTGTAATACAGTCACTAAAATGTCAGAACCCTATTCCTGGCAGATCTCTTGCTTGCAGGCATAAAAGCTTGTTGTTGCTACAGAAAACATGCAAGCTGATGAAGAGAGAAAAAAATCATTGGCCATTACTTTTTACCAAGTTAGCCAAAACATTTGCCTTCAGATTAGGATTCACACATGCTGACAACTCAGTAACAGGCTGTAGGCAGATGATGAGGGAGCGTTGTAGGAAGTGACCCCTTCCAGCTTTAATACAGCTCCCTACGTAGCAACTGTTACTGGGCAGGGCTGGCTTTGCTCACAAAGAACTAACTTTCCCTCCTAATAGTTAAGCAGCCTCATGCAGGCTTTGGCTTTTTTAATGCATTCTTTTGTTGTTGAATGTCAACAATTCCCATTCAAACCATGTAGTCTAAGGAGATTTTAGGAGCAGTACAATAGCTACCGTTTCAGATCTGTGAATCATAGCATTTTGTTGCTGTTCTTGGTGAGGATGTGAAAGCCAGCAGACAACAAGGAACTGGCAAAAACCTGAGCGAGTCACAGTTCCTGTCAAGCCAGCTATCACCCACTGTAGATAATTATTACTATATTGAAGATGGAATTGAGAAAAGAGGAAGAAAAGAGCCAAGCAAACAGATTCTGTTACAGATGTAGCTCTGCCTGAGTCAGTTTTTTCCCCCTTTAATCCCTACACGCACATATTTTTTATGTATATAAATCAGGTACTTAAAACACCAAATGCCAGTATTGTCAATATTATAACACCAATTAATTTACTACATTCTTCTCTATATTTGCGCAGCTTTATCTCCTTTTTATATATAATTTTTATAGCATTAAAAGGATTATCCGTACAGCAGCTGCCACAAATAAATACGGAAAAAGCTCCTTAATAATAAGGACAAGTCTAAATATTCCTTCAGCCTGGGCAGTTCTAAATTAACCTGGTTAACAGGACTTTACTCCATGCACCAGATCAGAGGCCCCACCTCAGACAGCTTTTCCATGAAGTGCCATGGCCTACACCCTGCCCAGGTCAGTCCCATGCCCTTCTCTTTCACACCCCCTCCTTGTTTTCCCTCAGTAGCTCCCAGATCCATATTCGCTTCACAAAACATAATTGAAAAATTTGAGAACCCAAATCCTGCATCATTCCCAAATCCGTGAAAATGAAACACTGGGCTTTTTCACTTCAACTCACCTGCAGGTATAAGGATCAAAGTGTGTATTTTAAAAGCCTGCAGAAAAACAGGCTAAAGTGCTTACTGTAGCACTGGTTTTGGAATAATTTGGTTAAAATCATGCAAACATATGAGACTCATGCATTTTAATGAACTGAAGAGAGCTCAAACCCTGTGTGACCATTTTTAAAAGAACAGATTAACTCTAGAGACCCATCACATCCTATCAAACAAAACATATTCTACAGGATACGCACAGCATGTGACAGTTCTGAGTATATCATCCATTCACCTAGAAATTCCTTCACTCCTCAAAAGACAAGTAGTTTTCCTCACCTACAAGCTTTCAGATTTGCCCAGGACCCTGCTGTTGTGAGGCAGTTAGGCTCACAGAAGAGAATATGCTTTTAAAGGCTCTAAAAACGCTATTTTTTTTTATAGCTTTATCAAAGGTAGAGCTCACTGCCCTTTCTCAGAAAGGAGGTAGCTAAAAGCAAGGCCCAGCTGAATTTAGGATACAGGTAACTGTAAAACATGAACAGAAGGAAAATCGCAGGTTCGATGCGAAGGATTTAGAGGGAGATAGAGAGAAAACGCACAGAGCAACTGCTGTCCCTCTGCAGTCAGTCACCTTTTGTATCTTCAGTAATCTTTCAACAACAAAACCCAAAGCAATTTCCAGAGTGGCAAAGCAGATGGCCCTGCGTATTCTTGCTTTTTTGGCCCCAGAGAAGCCAGCTTGGCCAAAGTTGGTTAACAAAGAGGTCTCTCAGCTTCTTGGGAGCCCCTGATGGGGCTGTAAACATGAGCTGAATGGAAAACTGTAACCAGAACACTAATTCAGCCCTGTGGTGGAAACAGGGCACGGCCTGGTTTGTGCTTTTCCACCACGGGTTCTGGAGTTTGGTTAATGGGATACCATCCCAGAAATGTCAGGCACACAGAAGGAGGTGGAGAAGCCCATAGGAGAAGGCCTCAGTGCTGGAACAAGAAAGCCCATAAATTTTGCTCAAGGTAAAGGCTCACAGGGAGGCACCCCATGTGCTAAGGAAACACCACAACACCCACTCACCCGCCTTCCAGTCACACTCACAGCGGCACCGACCAGCAAACTGCCAAGGGTCACCTCCAGCCCACACGTGGGGCCGTTCAGCAAGACTGGGCTGCTTCAGGTTGATACAATCTTTTCTCTGTGTCCATAAAAACTTGTTGATTTTAGACTTTCCATTCCTTAGTCTGAGCTCAGTAACCTATAATAAATTAATGTTACATAAAGTGCTTTGCAATATAGAGAAATTTAGTTTTTGAATGCAGCTTAAATAAACTAGTCCTGTTGACTAGTCAGGAACACACCACAAGCTCTGGCTAACCTGGAGTTACACGCACCATTTTGTGAGCTGATACAGGTTTGTTCACTGACCTGCTGGATGATGCCAAACAGGAAAGGTAACAGCTGAGTTCTTCCTGCCTTTCTCTTGGCAGAAGCACTCATTTCAAATTTTCTCCTCTATCTAGCTACTCATTCTTTTTTTTCATTTGCAAGGAAAAGTATATTAACATCCAAGGATTATTTTTGCCAGTATTGTACAAATTTATAATTTATTAAATAAAACCCCTCAATGACTGCTTTATCAGATCTTTCTTGCCTTAAAATTACTTTACTTACACCAGTGTTAATTATCAACCTTCGAAACATCAAGAGATCTGCTTCTTCTTTTCACATGCAATACATTATGCCTTCTGTTTAAAAAATAAAAGATGAAAAAGACAAACCCCTGCTTTCACTTAATCAAAGCAAAGAGAGAAGTGAGCTGAACTATCATGTAAATTTCTAAGGCATTTACCAGTCTTGACTGCACACCGGGGTCAATAGCATGTCTCCTGACACACTGCGGAGATCGTAGACAACAATTCTTAAAATCACTTTTATGTTTCCATGTATCTTAATTGCAATTTATTTGTACAGGCACAGCATTTTATAAAGGAACTTATATTGGATTAAATAGCAAGAGGGACATTTATTCATTATTTCAATGGACAGAGAAAAAAATAGCAGTTGCCTTGAAAAGTTCTGGGAGTCATTTGCTGATTTCCTTCCTTATGTTCTCAGTCCCACTTGGAAGTTTTCCTCCTCATATACCTGGACCCCTCACTGTCGACTGCTTCATAGAGGTCCTTTTTATTCTCTACTGTTGCATGCAAATAACCAAGGTAGGCCACACAGAGGCTAATTGCTATGAGTCCAAATGCCATCACAGGTTTGTTCTGACCAAAAAAAAAGAAAAAGTACACATTTTTAGTCAAAACATTTTTCATTCATCACAAACATTACATTCTTCAATCTTACTTCAGAAAGTTAACAGTGAAGTATCATGACATCCACAAAAAATCATCATAATCTTCTTGTCAACTGATCTAAATAACTTTAATAAGCAGCAAGAAGGGACACATGATTTTCTGATAACAAAAGGCATTCTCTATGAAAAAACTCTCATTGCATTGCCCAGTGCTCTGACTTTTGCTGCTCACAAACGCTGCTTGAGCGTGAATGAGCAGGCTAAAACCAATTAATGAAGGTTATTATCACCAACATCTACCAGAATTCACCTGGATATACTACTGGCACAACGCATGCTACTCTTGCCAAGCAACCTTGATCACACTCCTCTAAAACAGATCATGTGTTACCATCACAACATCTACATTTATTATGTGCACGAAATTCCATCCAGTCTTTCTGGGTTCTGCTAGCGTAAATTAAACCTGAGTATCATCAACTTAATTACAATTACATCATTAATTATAAAACGCAAGAAAAAGAAAAAAAAAATATTGAAAAGCTACTAAAAATCCCCTCCTTTCATACCAAAAAGTTCACATTTTATAATTTTTTCCTTTTTAAATATTGACAAGAATGCTTATTACTTAACCTATCAAATTACACAGGTAACGTGCCCATAAACAGTCTTTCTGAAAGCAACTTGGCTAGGTACAAAAGAATCAGACAATATAACAGTGAAATCAAAGCTGGAATAAACAATGTAATGTTCTGGGCTCTTAACAATCAGAGTGGAAAAAAAAAAGTAAAAATATTTTTAGATACATTACTGGGTGGTTTGCATAACAAGAGATGGTTATATAACACACACAGAATTGCAATGATTATTTCAAAGCAGGCATGCCTCTCCAAGCATTTTCAGTTTCTCTCAGAATGAGCCCCTTACAGGTTTAATGAAAAGCTCTGGGTTCACAGCTCGGAAAAGCATAGTTGTTTGAACACTCCTGAGTCCTGGTTTCCTCTCTTTGGGTATTTCATTTTCGTTTGGAGGTTTGGTGGAAGACATTTTAATTAATGTTGAATACTTCCTAAAAAACAAAATGAAAAATAAATGTCATTTTAATGCAAAAATGAAAGAACAACATTCACTGAATACAAGTTCACACTCAGCTCGTTTTCTACAGCATGAACTTTAGTTTATATACATATAAAAGATTGCCTTTGGTGTTACCTAACACTCCCAGCTTAAACACACTGATTTTCAATCTTGTCAATTTTGTGCATCCCAAAATTAATTTCTGGAGATGCACATCTTTATATATATATATAGCAAGTGTAAGCCTCCCGGTAACAGGCTTGGGTTTTTTTACTTGCTTTTGGCTAATGCTTTAGCTACCTGTAGACCTAGCAGCAGCCTTTCAGGCTAAAAAGACAGGGCACACTAATTTTATTTTTAAATAACCTTATGTGTGACAGCGCAACCTGCACCCTGTTGTAGTGTGGTCACTCCGTCCACTCACCCCAGCAGCCTTAAGACTCAAGTCTCCTCATACAAGGGACAAGTCCCATGCAAGATGCCACCTAAGCCAAGGTGAATACATCATGCCCTTGGTTAGCTGCTTACTGGGGGTTAGAGGAGACGCAGTGCTAAGGATCCCCCTGCCCCCTAGTTTGTAGGAGTGTGGCACAGCCAGGGGGCCAGGGCCAGGAGTCACAAGTCGCTGTGGAGACGACAAGCACAGCAAGGAGGTGAGGGCAGCTTGAAGGTCGGCTAAAGGCGACCGTACAGGCACAAGGCCCTGCCAGGCCCAGGGTGGCACAACGCCAGTCCACACCCGAGGAGCGACCGCCCAGCACCTCAGCCTGACTCCCCCATACCCGCCCCCAGCAGCACAAACCCTGAGGGCGGCGAGCGAGAGGCCAGAAACCGCCCCTCCGCTCTGAGGAGGCTCCTCACGCCGCTACCGGCTTTAGGCCGGAGACGAAAGGAGCTATTTCCCCACACGGAAAACACCGGCGGCGACACCCGGGCCATAACGACTAAGGCCAGGCCCCCGCCACCGCTGCCGCGCCCCAACGGCGCCTCAGAAGGCGGCGGGTAACGGTTAACGCCTCGCGACCAACGGCCGCCGCCCCGCCTGCCCCCTCTCTCCCCCTCCCCCGCCGCTACTCACCCCGCGCGCCGCCGACGGGGCTT